TGGACTGGGATGGGATAACGGGATACTGGGATGGACTGGGATGGGATAATGGAATACTGGGATGGGATAATGGGATACTGGGATGGACTGGGATGGGATAATGGGATACTGGGATAGACTGGGATGGGATAATGGGATGGGATAATGGGATGGCATAATGGGATACTGGGATGGGATAATGGGATACTGGGATAGACTGGGATGGGATAATGGGATACTGGGATGGACTGGGATGGATTTCAATGAACTGGGATGGGATAACGGGATACTGGGATGGGATACTGGGATACTGGGATGGACTGGGATGAGATACTGGGAAGGACTGGGATGGATTTGGAATGACTGAGATGGATTTGGATGGACTGGAACCGACTGGGATTAAATCCCAACCCCAAACGCCTCCATCCCCATCCCAAAATTCCAAAAAAATCCCCAAAATTCCCTCACTCACTTCTCCCTCTCGCGGGCGTTCTTGTAGAGCTTCACCTCCTGCGGGGAGAGCAGACACAAAATTCCCGAAATTCCTGGATATTCCCAAAATTCCCAAATTTCCAGGGGTCATTCCCGGTCATATTTGGGCATTTCCGGCTATTTCCGGTCATCCTCGGCCATTTCCGGAGACCCCCGGGCATTTCCGGCCATCTTCGGCCGTTCTCGGCTATTCCCGACCCGCACTCACCTCGTAAAGCTCCGGTTTATTCCCAGGCGCTGCTGTGGGAGGAAGGAAAGGGTTAAAAGGGAGGAAAACCGGGAATTCCATCCCGGGAATTTCGGGATCATCCCAAGGGATCCCATCACGGCAATTCCGGGATCGCTCCCGCCTCTCACCGCCCATCCCGGCCGGGCCTGCGATGCCGTGGAACATCCCCGGCGGAGCCTGGAGGGCTCTGGGCCCTCTCCTCGATCCCGGTTATCCCGATAATCCCGATAATTCCGATCCCGACGATCCCGGTCCGGTTCCCGGCGGCTCCGCGGCGCTTCCGCCTCTTTCCGTACACACTCCCACACGTCCCTCC